ACGCCTCGAAAACACCTGTGACATTTGGACCAACTGCTACCGGATCTTTCATTATCGAATGCATGGCCAAAGCAAAAAGCACTCGATGGGCATCCTGGAAGGCACTTTGGAGGTTGGAAGGTATCAGCAGGTCCTGAGGAGACAGACCGGATAAACCCAACGCAAATGGCGTCAGCATCGAGAAGCTCGTTGTATTCAACGCTTGCAAACGGGATGTCTGTTCAATGACCGCCAGATCGGATATGTCGTATTGCTCGGGAATCGGGGTCTGAGGCGAGGAGGCGTTAGAGGGGCCCTGGGATTGTTGCGGCATACTCTGCGTGACAATGATTTGCTCAAAGCGAGTATAGTTAAAAGTCTGCTCAGATAATTCTCTCCTCTCAGATATCGGGCGCACAGTTTGAACGGTATTATCAGGTAGACTAATCGTTGCCTCAACATCCTGGGTATAGTATTTTGTCCAGCAAAACATTGCCACGAGGGAAGGGTCCCTATCCCAGATGGCGATGAATTCGTGTAGGGAACTTGCATTGCAACCAGCCGCTTGCAATGACGGCGTTGAGTCCGCGTATGCGTCCGAGTCGAGCGATCCATCGCCATAGTAACCAATGTAATAGCCATTATACCCTGCCCTTGTTGTGAAATAGTATTCCAAGAGATTTCGAGCAACGCAGCCGTGACCATCGTCGAACGTTAACAGTGTAGAGTTAATACCCTTGGTAGATCTTGTTACTGAGTCAGCCAGCTGACAATCTAAGTCGGTCTGATAGAGAACAGTATTCCCCGTAAAGGTCCGATTCGTTCCGATGACCTGCCTGTCGTAAGATGGCAGAAATGGAGCAAGTGCGTATGACCTGGTCGTAAAAGGAGGCATATTCATATTCAGCCATGCAACATCGTATCCCTCGTTAACAAAATTCATAGTCAATGTACTGGCTTGTTCCTCCAATGAAACAAGCCCTGGCGAAGAAAGCATAGGAAGAGTTTCTGACTTTTGAATGGTTCTGACGGTAAAGATGCCACTTTGGAGGGGTGTTACGACCCAGGATAGAATAACCAAAATAAGAGCCGTGCAGAAGACTGTCCATTGCCTGTTGTTCGTTGGGTAGAATTAATAAAAATGCGAGTCATATCGGGCACAGGATAACTCACTTCCGCTTCAGTGACTGAAGTGGTACAAAAGCCAAAAATTCCGCAGGATAATCGAGAAGAACAGAATCGCCTCCAACTGCACCCGACTCCTGGGAGAGTCTATACCACGGTTCCAGCCGTTTCACATCGAGGTCGATCCAATTCCAGACGGTAGTAAAGAGGACGGCGATGATGGTCGGGAGGTAGTTCTCAAGAAATATATAGCCAGCGGGTAAGTCATCGATGCTTTCGGCGAAGAGAATGCCGCCGTCCCTTGTGCTCTTCGACTGAAGGACGGCCAATATGACCATGAGCGTAATCGTGAAGGAAATAACAAGAATTAAAACAATGGGACTTAATGACGTTGGTCTCCATGTTGGACCTGATGCCCACTGATCAGAAACTAACCCCGAGATCACAATGTCAGTCAAGGGAGACTTACCGTATGTACTCTTCTCGGTGGATTGGATCTGGGAATACCGGATTCCCATCGCTATCATTACACAAAACAGACCTCAAACGATGTATCCCGGCTCGATCGACGAGGGCTTGAGAAATTATAAAGACATACAACTAAAGATAGAGATATACGGTTGGAAAGAGATATTCTACGATGTTTATGATCCAACACATCTTGTCCATCCTGATCGACAGTTTCGGCCTGGAAAACGCCTTCCCGGCGGCAACTAACATCAAGGAAAGCTGCATGGGTCGAAAGCCCAATGATAGCACGAGCGGCTACACAAAGTCGCTGAGGGTGAGACAGTTGTCCAGCGGGCCATCGAGCGCTTAATTGGCACCAGCAGAACCCATGTCGCAGGCGCGTAGACGAGATCAAGCATTGGCGGATACATATTCTTGGCATGAACGGGCGATTTACATGGACAGGATCATCTATTTAGCGAGATTGTGAAGATGTATCGGATTGGAAGGAAAATGCGGCGCAGCACATGGGAATGTTAGCTTAGATTACAAATTTGGACGGCAAATCATAAGGTTAAGAAATGTCTAAGCGCCGCAGCTTGACATGGCTGAGTCTAGCCTTGGTGTGACTTATTTCAGGGGTCGTTTCTAAATCGAGAACCCATTGCCAAACCTGCAGACGGCAGGTGACTGAGTGCGGGTTTGAGTGCGAACATCTGCCGACTGTACGGAGTACACATCTTGTATTGTTGAACAGGAGTAGCGACTGCCTGACATGATATTTCAAGGAGAATAATGGTGGAAATACTGTAGATTGCAAGAGTGGAGGAAATGTAGATTCTGGCAATCAATTGGCTGGGCGGCTGTGCTGGAGAGGGTGGAGCAGCGGCGGGCGCTAAGAGCCGGCCGTCCTAAACAGGAAACGAGGGCTAGGGTTTTCGCGCACACCCGGCGCCGGCGCGCTAAGCGAGAAAACCCACATCACATCTACAGCTGCCTCAACTCCAATCTCTCAACGACGACGACGACACCGACGACCAGCTTCCTGTCGACACAATGGCGTCTCGACCTACCGTCACCATCACCACGGCGGATGGCAAGCCCAGCGGTGCCACCTACCCGCTGCCGGCTGTGTTCTCCTCGCCAATCCGCCCGGACATTGTGCAGTAAGTCGCCCGAATCCGAGTCGTTTCGCCGGACGGCCTCTGATCGCTGTATAGGAAGGTTCACACCGGTATGGCGAAGAACAAGCGACAGCCATATGCTGTGAGCGAGAAGGCCGGTGAACAGACCTCTGCCGAGTCCTGGGGTACCGGTACGTGAAAATTCGGTCAATTTTTTTTTGAAGTTGAGAGAAACTGATGTGGAAATCGCAAGGTCGCGCTGTTGCCCGTATCCCCCGTGTGTCGGGTGGTGGTACTCACCGTGCTGGTCAGGCTGCCTTCGGTAACCAGTGCCGTTCTGGTCGTATGTTCGCCCCGACCAAGGTGTGGAGGAAATGGCACCAGAAGATCAACCTCGGCCAGAAGTGAGATGACACCTGGATTCACGCGACATGGTTCATTACTGACGATGTGCACAAGGCGTTTCGCTGTCGCTTCTGCTCTGGCTGCCTCCTCTGTTCCTTCTCTCCTTTTCGCCCGTGGCCACCGCGTTGCCAACGTTCCCGAAGTTCCTCTCGTCGTCGACTCCAAGGTCTTCGAGAATGGCGCCATCACCAAGACCAAGGCTGCTGTTGCCCTGCTGAAGGGCGTCGGTGCTGGTCCTGACCTGGTCAAGGTCCAGAAGTCCCGCAAGCTGCGCGCTGGTAAGGGTAAGATGAGGGGCCGTCGCTACCGCCAGCGCCGCGGTCCTCTGATCGTCTACAACCCGGAGAAGGACGGCAAGGAGCTCGTCAGGGCTTTCCGCAACATCCCTGGTGTGGAGACCTCGTCTGTCTACGCGCTGAACCTGCTGCAGCTGGCTCCTGGTGGTCACCTGGGCCGCTTCATTGTGTGGACGTCCGCTGCTTTCGCCGCTCTGGACGAGTTGTACGGCACGACCACTACTCCTGCCGCCCTGAAGAAGGACTACCTCCTGCCTTCAAACGTTCTTGCCAACGCCGACATTGCCCGTCTGATCAACTCGTCCGAAATCCAGTCGGTGCTGCGCGAGCCTAAGGGCGAGGCCCGCACCAAGCGCACCAACGTGCAGAAGAAGAACCCTCTGCGGAACCGCCAGGTGCTGCTCAGACTCAACCCGTACGCCGCGGCCTACTCGAAGGAGAAGCTGGGTCAGAAGGGTGTTGAGCACGGCAAGCCGGAGCGTGCTAGTGAGACGTTCCACAAGATCCTGTCTGAGGAGTAAACTTTTCTTTGTTTCTTTTTATTTTAAAACAAAGGGTTAGCCACAGCTGCATGAATGAATGGAATGCTTGTGCGATAATGCATAATATTTTCAGTAGTCTTCTGTCTTGCAAGCACTTGTAAAGCATATCAAACTCGGGGACATGCGAAAAAAAAAAGGTCCGCATTTTTGTCTTTCTGTTCCCAAGATTCATTTTCCTCGATTTTGCCGTAGTCCCTCCACGTGCAATATAAGCATTCACAAGTAGATGTAGAGATATAGATAAGAAATTTGCATCAGTCGCAAATCCCTCCTGCTGATGATGGTAAACCTACCTAACAGTCGGCAGTCATACCAATTGCTCGAAAAGGTCGAACCTACAAAGCTCCTTTGCCAAGTCTACACTACGGGACATCACCTCTTAATCCAGACACTATTCTTGCAGGCCAACCTTTCCCTGCCAGAAAGTACATAGCTACTGGTAGTAGTTGGAAATAATTACAGGGAAATTTCTTTGTTTTTTTCCTATATTTCTTTTTTTTAAAAAAAAAGCTTATGGGTAGTTAAGATGGAGAACTGCATTATATAGACCAAACTATATATATTTAACTCGATCAACATCCGTTATTAGTGCCAAACCTAAATCAGATCCAACATCAAAGTGTAAACTTGATTGAATCTGCGTGATTTTCTCTCTTTCTTTCTCCTACCTGGAACTTTTCTAGATTTCAACCGGGAGATTCCTTCCAAATATGCAACTACCAGTTTGTATCACGACTCAGACCGCCTGCGAGCGCGCAACCTTACCCGAAAGGGGAGTACCATAACATTCCCGACCAAGGTTGGAAGTATATCTAATCTCCAACTGCCATACTTTATCAATTCAATTGTCATTATTACATCTATCACCACGGTATTTGATTTTCCTGGTCATATCTCATCTTTCATCTGGCATCTGCTATCTACCATCTTCATCTACAGTCAGTCAGACACCATGGGCTACGCCATCATGTACCCCAATACAGCCCCCCAGCGCGAAGCTCACGAGAATGCGCTGGAGGCGATCGAAGCACGAATCATCGAACTCGGGGAAACCAAATTCGAGTTTTCTGCACTTTAGCAGGAGAAGATTCGTGTCCTGTCCATGCCTCTCGCGGAGGACCATGGTGCCAGTCGTTTCAGTCCATGTTTCTTCAGTCCGTACCACGAATGCTTTCTCATCGACCCGCCTGAGGAAGTCGAGAAGGATGGCAATGATAATGACGATGTGAAGGAGTTATCGGAAAAGGCGAAGGAGCGGCTTGAACGGGCGCAACCGCTGTTTTTGCTGAGTTGCTATTTCCGTACATACGGGTCCTCGTGCGAGGAAGATATCGAGGTGAAATTCAAACCATCGCCCGGAGAATGGGTATTCAGCGAGAAGCGAGAGCCTCTTCTTACTATCTATATATATATAAGTTGGTTTTTATCTTGCTCACATCTTTACGCACAGGTACAACAAAATCGCGAGAAAGCATCTTATTGAGCACCGTCCTGATTTTTGGCAATATCTTTCCATTTCTGAGGCTCCTCCAGCCCCTCACTTTCGCTGCGAGATTCTTTACACCATCGTCGGAGACGATCAGCACCTGCTCCGCGGTGAACTGCTTACGATCATCCGCCTGATAAGGGCACGGCTGAAGATAAAGTCGGTGCGCATGACGATGATGGGGCATATCGCCGTTCCGGTCAGTTCTTCCATGCTCTTCTCGTTTTATTACTGGTTGTTGATCATTTCACAGGTTTTGCTCTTCAGTACATGAAACCACGCCAGGCGCGGATTCTCCAAGGCCATTTCGACGGGAATGAGCTGATTGTGCACTGCGGTAAGCTCTATGACTTTAGTGAGAAGAACGACGAGGCCCGGAAGTTGTTTATGCAGTGGCAACTCTCTCGTCCAGTTGGCAAGACCAAAATGAACGAGCAGTAACTCACAACTCATCGAATGTGCATTGCACGGCAAGAAAAAAAGTTCTTACGGTTCTTACAAAGGTTCTCATGTAATCTAATGTAGACCAGTACCCACTAGGTAATATTTCTAATAATAATATCCATCGCAAGACCGATTGATTCTTGTATTCAATGGGTGATCTTAACAACGTTCTCGATCTACATGCTTACTCAGAAGCTACTATATCTTTGTTGATGATGAGTCAAGTGCAGTATCCAGCTCTATGGTATCTGTTGGAAAAGGGTCATGGCTAGGCTGTATATAGCAGGAATGGAAGAATGTGTAAGAATTCTTGTTATTTATTGTCTGTAATCAAGTAAAAGAGTGTGGGCATCTAAACCGGCTCGAGTCAATGCTTTCTCGCATCCAACTACATCAAGTCCTTGGTTTGGCTTAGGAGGCCAAACTAGAGGCCCTGGTGCAGATTCAGAATTCAAGTGAGAAGCTGACTCGATAGAATTTCATCTTGCTGATGGGTCTGGCGGAGAGGTAGGAAGGATAAAGCAAAGGTAATATTAAGATGCAACAGGGAGACGAATGGATTGAAAGATGAAGAAACGGGTGGGAGGGTTGTTATTTATTGTAAGCCAGTGGGGAAAGATTATTCTGCACTGGTGCCCGATGCATGCCTGCTGGGGAAAAAAAAAGAAAAAGAAAAAAATTGAGCAAGAAGTCTGTCTCCACATGTAAAGCCCAGCCAAGTAAAGCCAGCAGAAGGGTTAAAATACCGGGGTTTAATGAATCTTCCAGTTTGACAACATTTGCAAATAGGAGAGCCGAGAGAAATCTGATAAATGTTTCAAGAGTAAGCAATATACTTGCAATGCGGTGTGCTTTAAACTATTGTCTGACTTGCTACCAATGTTCTTCTACCTATCAAAACTTAGAGAGGTTTTGCAGCCGACTGGACAGAGGACAACTCACTCAATTACCTACCTAAGTAATTGAGGTAAGTCCAGCATATTACTGTAAATGCAAGGCAGTAGTAGTTACCTCCATAGGTAGCTAGTTCCAAATTGGCCCTACACCTGTTCAGTAGTGGCGTTCATGCTGTGAACCAGGAACCCCAGGTACTTTCTTTCATTACTAATACCCTACATTTAATTATTCTGATATTAATTCTCTATTGACAAGACTCCTCCTAAAACCCTTTATAATTTAGGTATAAAATGTCTTTCTACCTGATATTGTCAAACTTATAAGTCAGAATGAGCCCATCTAGTTTTCTAATAGAAGTCACTCTGAAATGCCAGCTAATATGTTGCCACGTATGCCCCTATCTGCCTAGGGTATCAAAAAATACATTACATAACCTACTTATATAAACGCCTATGTACTTCACGACTTATTTGGATTCATGCGTCAACAATTTTCTTAGCAACATTGAGGACTGCTTCCGGCTGGCTCAAGAAAGGCGAGTGTCCCGCAGTGCAGGTCTCCTTGTGGATAGTCACGCCCTTCTCCTCAGCCTTTTGGACCATCGACTGCTGCACCGCCAGCGGCAAGGCCTGGTCGTTTTCGCAGAACAGGTATGTGACCGGATGATAGAGATACGCCGTCTGGGTGATGGGCGTCGTCTGAGCGACGGCCGGACAAGGCTTCAGCTCCGACACCCAGTGATCTTGCTCCTCCTTGGACAGGTCGTTGTAGAACCGACGCGCCGGCTCGAGCATGACGCACATTCCTTTCTCCTGTAAAACATCTCAGTACATGCACTTTTTTTCAAGCAGATTAATAGGGGAGGGGGGGAAAAAAAATCTCACGTCGACGGGGATATGAGGCGGGAATTTCCCTCCCAGCGCCGAGCGCAGGGAATCGCCCAGCGCAAGCAAGAAAGCGCACATGTATACCAGGTGGATGACACCGCCTGCAAGACCCCTGGCCTCGCGGTCCTTCTTTGCGAATTCCTTATCAACGGCCTGGGTGGCCACAACTCCGCCGTAGGAGTGGGCTATCACCAGCACGTCCTTCTGCTCCGTGTCGACCAGCTTCTTGAGCTCGTCCCGGATCACCTGGGCGTCTTCCATGAGGCCGATCGGTGGCAGCTGGCCCACGCTGGGGTGCAAGGGGCAGGAGGTCGGGAAGTCATTGGCTTCGAAAAGATCCCTGACGCGGCGGAAGTGGTTGGGGTTGTGCCAGGAGCCATGGACGAAAAGCACTGTAGGTTTCGTCGATGTCATTGTAAATTTCTTTAACTTAAATTAGACGCGCGGGGTATATAGTTTCAGCAACCACGTTATCTTGTTCCTAGTATATGCAATACAGAAAAAAGAAAAGAGCATGCATTCATTCTTCTCCACAAGTCAAATATATGCAACGTACGTACATGTATGCACTTTCTGGCTGTACAGTATATACAAAAGAAACCAACTCGAAGCATAAAAACGAATGGCTATCAACGCTCAAAAAAGGGTGGGTAGGTAAGAACCACGTAGAGGCGAGCCGAAAAAACCGGAAGCAAATCAGCGGTTCTCTTCAATTGTTGTTATTGCATTGGGGCAAACCTTATCCGTCTGCTAAGCCTGCCTACAATCCAGACAGACAGTCGCATAACGCACGAAGGAAAACTTAATGAACAGCCTCGTGGCACGCCTGACCGGGCAATATTACAATAGGATTGTTGGATTGGACTGAAAATTTGGATAGGTAGGTAAATATTATTGTTATAGCGGTTGTTCCAATGATTGGAACTTTTGCTCAGCCAGTAGGAAGCAATCAGTAGCAATTACCTAATTTGTCCTCCGTATGGACAGACCTCTTGGCAAAAAAAACAAAGCTGAATTGATAACCGCTGGTTCCAGCGCTGATCCCAGCCCCACAGTGAGGCTGAAAAAAAAAGTCGATCATCGATGGATTGCCTGCCTACATCTGCCTACATTAGGCATGTATGGAATCTGTACATATGCACAGCCCTCTCAAGTGTGTCATGCTTGAATGTGCAGCTGTTCTAGCAGATTTTCTGGTCAATGTTGGTATTATTTTCTTTAGAATATTAATTATCTTCTATATGAGATACAGGCAGTTAACCTTCTATCAATATAGTTTTGGTCCATGCCTAGCTTAGGCAGCCTGTATCATTCTTGCATTAGATACATGCCATCCATCCGTCAGTGTAGCAGTAGCTTTTTTTCCTGCTTAACAACACAACACATTCATAAGGTAGGTATGTACCTAAGGTAGTAGTCAACGCAGACGATGGATTCTCGACTAGGATTGACAAGTCTGTAGTCAAGTAAAGAGGAGCAAAGGAAAATGGATTAGTCTAGGCTGGTCATCTATAAGCCTAAGGAACCATGTATGATCAGCTTCATCTCCATTCTTCTCAGGTAGCATTTCCTAAGCATTGAGGGATTTACTTCAGGAACTGTAACTGGAAGTGGGCCTCAATTCTGATTTCTGAATGAAGGAATCTTTCTTTCCTTGGTCACGCTGCAGGCACCTAGGAGTTGGGAAAAAAAATCCTTTGATCTGTTAGGTAAGTAGTAGCAGGAATGCGACAGTTACCACAAGCAAGCAAATACTACAACTATACGGAGTACGTAGGGTGGTTAGGTAGACAGACAGATGGGTAGCGCTTCTTGGCCACTTGGGTATGCACATCCCTAGGTATCGACTACCGAGTACTACTACCACCTATATACTAGGTACCTACGTGCTATTATCACACCGGCATCCCTAAAGCGGGAAATCTTTCCAAAAATAAAAACCATCGACAAGTAATACCACGGCAACCTTAAATCGGAACGAACGTGGTGGAGCGCCGATCCTAATAGTATGGTCCCTAGGTAAGATACCTATGTAGGTATAGTATAGTACGGAGTATAGACAGTGTCTTTTTTTCTGTACCCCAGACAAGACTTCGAACAGAAAGGAAATCTTGTTTTCAGTTTTATGTCACTCGTCTTACACACACACACTCTCTCTCTCTTTCTGCCATTTAGCAGGCTATGTGACATTTATTTTTTTTCTCGGCTGATATGTTCGATCAAATTTGCATGCAGCATTTCTTTTTAACTTATACAGTAGTACTATGGTAGGTAGCATAGTTGAGTAATTACATACACAGCTGCACGGTCATACATACAACAACACAAAAAAGAAAAAAAAAAAAAGAAAAGAGGCTGAGCCATTCTTGCATCCACCTATCTGTACTCCGTATATACTATACTACATTTTATTTTGTTTATTTTCTCCTTCAGCCACTTATCAAAATATTATGTCACCTATTATGCAATATTTCCATCCATTGGTGATCCTGTTTCAAATCCTCTTTGGGGCCAAATCCGAATCCATGACGAATCCATGACGTCTCGAGTATCCATAATGGGTAACATGCCAATTTTTTGGTTCTTTTTTATATTTATATAAGATTTGGGTTATTATTACCTTACTCCGTAAGTAGGTACGGAGTATGGAGTAGGTATGTAATGTAATGTAATTAGCAGGAGCTCCTGGAGCAGGAGTACTGTACCTAGGGAAAAAGGGGGAAAAAAATTCAATTGACTAGTAATAATTCGGGTTCATTTCATTGGGTGTGCACGGAGAAACTCCACATATAACCAGAAAAAAAAATTCGAATTCAAAGTTCACGAGCTAGGGGCGTCCGTACAGTACCAAGGATACATTCTGGGGGGATCGACTTACGGACGTAACTTTATAACTTACCTGTAATTATTAACTACCTAAACTTAGGTACCTTACCTTAGCTATTTAATAGAGGTCCTAGGAATCCACATACCTAACTTTCAGAACGTTGCAGTCCGCCATAACCTTTTTGTGCTTAAGGTTAGCTACATGATGGCGTTGTTACTATGTGTATGCCCCGTACATAGGAACAGTGCATACGGAGAAAGTAGCTGGACTACGGAGTAGGATCATAGGCGTGAATAAGGTACAGTACAGTACAGTACACAATTCATTAATGCTCGAAGAATCCATAGATTATCCCTCTCACTCTAGACGCATCACCAAGGATTTTCTGAGATAAGACTTGTTTCTTCGGGATATGAATCGTCCATCAGATCTAGATCAGCTGGCTGACAGCAAACATCGAGCAGCTAAACGAGCAGAGACGAGCATGTCTTGGTTCTCTACAGAGTTATGCCCCCGTAATTTGTGTCCTAATTCGGACTAGCGGCCAGCTGCTGCGGCTGCTGATTGGCCTGCGAGGTGCGGAGTTGCATGCCGGCGGTGCCTCGCCGCAGCTGGAGCAGAACCAGCAGATAAGTTCTTAACTTCATACAGTACTACCGTGATCTCCACCCAAAATTGGGCGAGCTCCATGAAAACAGTGCTATTCTTCGCCCCCGATCGGGAGTTGGGTCTGCCGGCCTTTTGGCGTGTGCTCTGCGGGACACGACACGGGAGTTGAAGGGTCGAAAAAGCAATGTGCAGGTTCAGCACCCTCGTCCAAGGCGCACTG